TACACTGCTAAATTAGGGACGGCTAGCGCAGATACTCCTGGTGTAGCTTTGCGCGAAATTCAAAAACAAACAAACAGTTCTCAGAACTAATAAAGCGGGAAACCTTGTGTTGGAAATTAATGAGCTGTGTAACATATCTGTAGTCAGTTACTTTTTTAATTCTTCCACGTGAAAACGAAGAATGACGTTATGAAATTCAATAATATTACTTATGTAATAACATGAATACGTTTAGTCTTAATTTTAACATAAAAACTAAAGTAGCTCTCTTGAAAGTTCCTTTTTTTTTCTCTCCAAACAATTAAAATAAATTTAACATTTTTTATTGAATTTTAACACAACACAAAATCATTTCACATGCATTCTTTTATTCGCTGTCCATAGAACCACTTTGAATTGTACCAACTACAGACTAAGAAGTGTATAGTTAGAAGTTACCAAAATTTATGTTTGAATTTTAAAAGCACAATAACGCTAAACTACAAATAAATAGAAATATGTTTCCGTTAACGTTAAAAACTTTGACTTGTAAAACTTCTAGCAGCCAAGTTCATGTTAAGTTTTTAATTAATAGAACTGACAAGTTAATTTTCAGATTTCACAATAAATTGTATTTCACTACTTAAGGCTACTTATATAGGAAATTGTATTTCATAATTCCAAACTTCGTACATAGGGGATTGTATTTCATAATTCCAAACTTCGTACAAATTGGATTGTATTTCATAATTCCAAACTTCGTATATAGGAGATTGTACTTCATAATTCCAAACTTCGTACATAAGAGATTGTACTTCATAATTCCAAACTTCGTATATAGGAGATTGTATTTCATAATTCCAAACTTCGTATATAGTAGATTGTATTTCATAATTCCAAACTTCGTATATAGGAGATTGTATTTCATAATTCCAAACTTCGTATATAGGAGATTGTACTTCATAATTCCAAACTTTGTATATATAGGAGATTGTACTTCATAATTCCAAACTTCGTACATAAGAGATTGTACTTCATAATTCCAAACTTCGTATACAGGAGATTGTACTTCATAATTCCAAACTTCGTATACAGGAGATTGTACTTCATAATTCCAAACTTCGTATATACAGGAGATTGTACTTCATAATTCCAAACTTCGTACATAGGAGATTGTACTTCATAATTCAAGACTTCGTATATGGTAGATTATATTTCATCACTCAAAACTTTTCATATAGGAAATTATAGTTCTTCGCCCTATTTAATAATAGACAATGTGATGATTGATATAGGTCATTGGAAAATTGTGGGAACGTATATAAACCAGCTCTCGTATTGATGCGATTGGAAGATTGTTTTAAAGCTTAAGTCATGTGATTAAGAGGCATCTGCAAACCTTCTTTGTCCGGCTTATAAAAGGGCCTTTAAAATTTGATTGATGGGTGGAGGGATATGTGTTAAACGTACATACACATAATAATACAGCGAGATTGTTGCACAATGAAGAGAGAATTTTAAAGAAAAAACGCAAGTCTCCAATATTCTCCACGGAAACATAATATTTCTTCTAGGACAGCAACAACTTGTGAAACCAAAGCACTAATCTGCAAAGATAATGTTACGTTTATGAAAGAGAACCTTCTGATCCCAAAATGGCTTTGTGATGAAGTTTAGCATATCTTCTGGTACCGTTAATTTGAAGTTGACGAAGGTTTACCAGCTTCTAGTCGAAATCGTAAATGAAACAGATGTTTTCTCAAGCAAGGTAGCTGAAAAAACTGAAACCATAGCAATCCTGTTCGACCATAAACCCGTCAAGTCCCCTGATGCAGTTCCATAAACCACAGTAATCCTGTTCGACCACAAAACTGTCAAGTCCCCTGATGCAATTCCATAAACCACAGCAATCCTGTTCGACCAAACCTGTCAACTCTCCTGACACAGTTCCATAAACCACAGCAATCCTGTTCGACCACAAAACTGTCAAGTCCCCTGACACAGTTCCATAAACCACAGCAATCCTGTTCGACACAAACCTGCCAAGTCCCCTGATGCAGTTCCATAAACCACAGCAATCCTGTTCGACCACAAACCTGTCAAGTCCCCTGATGCAGTTCCATAAACCACAGCAATCCTGTACGACCACAAACCTGTAAAGTCCCCTGATGCAGTTCCATTGGACTTTTGTGCCTTTGGTCTGATGAAATATTTGCTTGAAAATCATATCTTAAGATATTAGTGAGTTTGTAAAGAGCTACAAAAGAAAATGTGAGGAAATTGACATGTCTGTCTTCTAAAAAAACTTTATCTCCTGGAAACATCGCTGACGGGTCTTTGTTAAGAAGCAAGAAAAAAAATGGTTTTGAGTACTCTTATTATCAACCTTTGAGTACTAATCATCCTTTACAGAAAAGTGTAAGTTGCCCTCCTTATATATATATATGTAATACTGAATTCCTCAACAACGTTTCAGTTGTTTCGGTCAACTATAGCCATCATCAGTAGAAAGGAGTATGCGAAACTGTACTAGGATATGATGAAAGAAGCTATGAATGGTTAAAATCCCATTAAGACATCATTCATCCAATGAAAATTGTACAGACAGGAGTAGGGATCAATGTATCATTAAGAGGAAGAAGAAAGGGACGAACAGAAGAACATTAAATTCCCATGTGAACTTCGCACAAACTCATCTTCTGAAATGACACTTAAGCCTTACGAAAGCAGAAGAACTAGTATAGATATTCAATTATTACACAGATACGGACTTACATATTACATACGTCCGTACTTAAAATATGACGTCTCTACGTATGTCGGTCTATTTTTTTTTTATTCATTTACGAAGAATTAGAACAACATGAGTCAATTATTCTTCAAATTCAAATCACACACCGGAGAGTGCCCTAAGTTACACCAAACTCACAATACAGTTTCAATTTCGGTGATTTCGGTGTTTCGAAGTTTGTCGTGGTAGAACCGACCATAGTAAGAGCGGGGGGAGGGGTTTTTCAGGCGAGTCTCAGTACTGGAAATGTGGCTCCTGGATACATCTCTTTGTGTCACGTGTTCACTAGGTGACGACCTACAAATACACAAAAAGAGAATTTATTGTAATTTTAAATTAAAACGAACTTAAAGATCTTAAATGAAAAATAATGGATACAATGAATTATGGCTCACTTGTGCACAGAAGGTTTATTTGTGGGCTATCTGTGCCGTGCCCACTACGAGTATCGAAACCCGGTTTTTAGCGTTGTACGTCCGCAGACATACCGTTGAGTTTTGTTTGTTGAATTTCGAGGGTTATCTGGGCTACCCGCCCTTAGTTTTGAAGTAATAGACAAGAGGGAAGGCAACTAATCAATACTATCTACCACCAACATTTGGTACTATTTACCAACGAAAAGTGTGATTGATCGTAACGTTATTGCGTTCCCAAGGCTGAAAGAGCGAGCATGTTTGATGACTGGATTCGTACCCAAGATTGCAAGTTGAGCGATATTACCACCAGGCCGTGTCAGAACAGTAAAGTAGCTGGATTTAATATTGTTTTTAAGCACAAAACTACATAGGAGGCTGTATGTTCTGTGTTCACCGCTGGGATCCAATCTCAATTTTTATCCCTCAAGCTTATCACCGAGCCACGAGCAGGCTACTCTAGTGTCCTCAAAGGCTGCTTTTGTCAAATGTTTTGTGTTGATGTGAGAATATTCTTTTAAAAACACACAATAGTTATTGACAAAATAAAGAAAGATATGTTTGTTTGTTTGAAGCTAAGCACAAAGCTATATAATGGGCTATCTGTGCCGTGACCACCAGGAGTATCGAAACCCGGTTTATATCGATGTACGTCTGCAGATATACCGCTGAGCCACTGGGGAGCTGAGCAGAAGGAAACCGAAAATTATTCTTGTTCGACACTTCGATAGTAGTTTTTGATAATGTATATACCCCCCTTTTTTCATCAACTTCTTATTGCACATTTTTAAACGATTAGGAGCTGAAATGAATTTGATTGTTTGTTTGTTCTGTAATTTCGTGCAAAGCTACTTGAACTAAGAGAACAAAGGGTAAGTCAATAAAAACTATTCAGAAACTCTTGTCAATAAAAACTATTCAGAAACTCTTGTCAATAAAAACTATTCAGAAACTCTTGTTAATAAAAACAATCCAGAAGCTCTTGTCAATAAAAACTATTCAGAATCTCTTGTCAATAACAACTATTCAGAAACTCTTGTCAATAAAAACTATTCAGAAACTCTTGTTAATAAAAACTATCCAGAAGCTCTTGTCAATAAAAACTATTCAGAAACTCTTGTCAATAAAAACTGGATTCACAGACTGGCACGCTGATTACAAGGCCGCTAAAGCAAAAGTAGATGTCTTATAGGATTAAAAATGGGGGGGGGGGGGGTAACAACAACTGTAATTTCCACATTAATTCCGCTTTTAAGAACAACACAAGTATGTCAGAAGTGTGAAATATCATCTGTAAAGTATGTCAGAAGTATGAAATATCATCTATAAAGTATGTCAGAAGTATGAAATATCATCTTTAAATTATGTCAGAAGTGTGAAGTATCATCTTTAAAGTATGTCAGAAGTGTGAAATATCATCTTTAAAGTATGTCAGAAGTGTGAAATATCATCTGTAAAGTATATCAGAAGTGTGAAATATCATCTGTAAAGTATATCAGAAGTGTGAAATATGATCTGTAAAGTAAACTATTTCACTTATTACTGCAAACGATAAAATTTCCTTTCATTTTTCACGTTTCAAATGATTGAGAAGTATCAAAATAAAAACGTAAGAAAACAAACAAACTTTTAGTGACTTGTTTCAACTACACTATTTGATTAGAAATAGTTGGTGTCCACTCACAAAGCTGGGTTGATTCGTGGCTTCATTAAAACGCAAAAAGTAGAACAAGGCAGTAAAAATATTGTCATTTATACGCGTCATGCTATAATTAACTAGCAAAGAATTTAGATAATTTAAGAGTCGTTATGAAATGGGCATTAATTCATCTCCAGCACATCATTCTTTCGTTGTAAATTACGTCATCAGGTCCTGTAAACTTTAGCTACCTTACCCACTGTGTTACGTTCAATAATTACGTCATCAGGTCCTATATGTTGTAGCTACCTTACCCATTGTGTAACATTCAATAATTACATCATCAGATCATTCATGTTTTAGCTACCTTACCCATTGTGTAACATTCAATGATTACATCATCAGGTCCTTCATGTTTTAGCTATTTTACCCATTTGTGTAACGTTCAATAATTACATCATCAGGTCCTTCATGTTTTAGCTATTTTACCCATTGTGTAACGTTCAATAATTACATCATCAGGTTCTTCTTGTTTTAGCTATTTTACCCATTGTGTAACGTTCAATAATTACATCATCAGGTCCTTCATGTTTTAGCTATTTTACCCATTGTGTAACGTTCAATAATTACATCATTAGGTTTTTCTTGTTTTAGCTTCCTTACCCATTGTGTAACATTCAATAATTACGTCATCAGGTCCTTCATGTTTTAGCTTCCTTACCCATTGTGTAACGTTCAATAATTACACCATCAGGTCCTATATGTTTTAGCTTCCTTACCCATTGTGTAACGTTCAATAATTACATCATCAGGTCCTTCATGTTTTAGCTATTTTAGCCATTGTGTAACGTTCAATAATTACATCATCAGGTCCTATATGTTTTAGCTTCCTTACCCATTGTGTAACGTTCAATAATTACACCATCAGGTCCTTCATGTTCTAGCTACCTTACCCATTGTGTAACGTTCAATAATTACATCATCAGGTCCTTCATGTTTTAGCTTCCTTACCCATTGTGTAACGTTCAATAATTACACCATCAGGTCCTATATGTTTTAGCTATTTTACCCATTGTGTAACGTTCAATAATTACATCATCAGGTCCTATATGTTTTAGCTTCCTTACCCATTGTGACGTAATTATTGAATGTTACATCAGGTCCTATATGTTTTAGCTTCCTTACCCATTGTGTAACGTTAAATAGTTACATCATCAGAGCCTTCATGTTTTAGCTATTTTACCCATTGTGTAACGTACAATAATTACGTCATCAGATCATTCATGTTTTAGCTATTTTACCCATTGTGTAACGTTCAATAATTACATCATCAGGTCATTCATGTTTTAGCTATTTTACCAATTGTGTAACGTTAAATAGTTACATCATCAGAGCCTTCATGTTTTAGCTATTTTACCCATTGTGTAACATACAATAATTACGTCATCAGATCATTCATGTTTTAGCTATTTTACCAATTGTGTAACGTTAAATAGTTACATCATCAGGTCATTCATGTTTTAGCTATTTTACCAATTGTGTAACGTTAAATAGTTACATCATCAGAGCCTTCATGTTTTAGCTACCTTTCCCATTGTATAACGTTTGATCCAACATTACATAGCTTGTGCTTACCGTAAGTTTAGTTGTTTCTCAAGCTGTCGTAGTTTTAGCCGGGTCATATCCAGTTCATGTCGAACCTTCCACAGCTGGGTATCACAAACTGGGTCATGACACCGGTGCTCTTTCATCATGTCTTGGGCTTCAAAGACGGCTCCAGGAAAACTTATGGACTTTCCCATGCTCTACAGTAACAGAAATTAACATGCATAATTACACTTTAACTATTTTATTTATCAATCTGTATTAGTCGTCTAAAGACAGTTCTTTAATTAAACAAAGAAGGATCTCATAACATAAAAGTATGATTGATTTACAGCAGGTTTATCCGGTTTTCTGAGACTGAGTTTATACGGTTCGCGTACTGATTATCATATCAATCTGTATTAGTCGTCTAAAGACAGTTCTTTAATTAAACAAAGAAAGATATCTTAACATAAAAGTATGATTGTTTTACAGCAGGTTTATCCGGTTTTCTGAGACTGAGTTTATACGGTTCGCGTACTGATTATCATATCAATCTGTATTAGTCGTCTGAAGACAGTTCTTTAATTAAACAAAGAAAGATATCTTAACATAAAAGTATGATTGTTTTACAGCAGGTTTATCCGGTTTTCTGAGACTGAGTTTATACGGTTCGCGTACTGATTATCAATCAAATATTAAATTTCGAGTTTAAGCCCTAAAAAAAGTTTATCTACAAATAAAATTCAGACAAGAAATTCCCATCCCAGCAATGTCACTTTTATTTGTAGTTAAGCACAATGCTACACAATGAGCTATATATGCTGTGCCACCCATGGGTACCGAAACCCGTTTTTCAGCGTTATAAGCCTTCCAGCTTACCATTGTGCCACTGGGGGGAAGTAACGTCACATAACTAACAAATAATGGCTCTCCAACGCTTCCATTAAAGACCCTCGTTTGAATAATCACCGATTGCAAATGACCCAGAAAGTTTAAAATGGACCAATAGATTTCACGGCAAGAATTCATAGCTCTGTTTAAACCCAGTGTTGAAAATAACTTTTCTTTTAAAACAACAAAACTTTAAACTTACCAAACTCACAAGAGCAAAACAACTTTGTTTGTCTGTCTTTGCCAGATGTTTCCTGATATACTTAAAATAAATGTGTTCGACTCCTAGCAAGACAACAGTGAAGAGGACGCCACAGCCCAACAAGAGAAAGGCACTCATAAACTGGTTGATATCCAAAGGATTCGTCGCGTTTCTTTTATTTTTTGTTGGTTTGCAAGCTCCTTGTAACCAGAATCTTTGAAGACGCTCCAACTCTCCTAACGACAAACAAATTAAGTTGAATTAATCTTTAATGAACACAGTCTGTTATAGTGTTTTCTCAACTCACAAACTAAAATAAAGTGTTTCA